AAATTACCAAGAAAAGGATCCCGCAGGGCCAGGGTGGAGGCAGCTCCCAGCATGTCCTGGACATGCACACCCTGTCCTCTGCACATCCAGGCAGCGAAGAGCCCAGAGGGCACTCCGAGAAATTCCCATTGTCCTGGAAGTCCACCCAGTCTCAGCGAGCCCCACTCCAGCACTTGTAATGTACCTTTGTATGCACGTTTTGTAAACCTGGCCCTCAAACCAGTTCTGAGGTATAAGGCTAGCCCTTCTGGGATATAAAACTAGCTTTACCCATTTATCAGGTATGATAACCCACCCTGGTTTCCAGTTGTGAGGCCAGCTCTCTGTCAGAGAGTGGGGGTTGCTTTTGCTGTGAGCTGAAGATGTCCAGCTTAAAGTGAGAACAAGGGGAGAGACCACACCAGCCACTGAACTTACTGTAGTTGGGCCTCAGCCCAGCCAGGCATGTGAGTGGCCAATCAATGCCTGTGGGAAAAGCCAAGGGCATCAGGGGTGGATGCCCTCCCATAAGCCTGCCTCCATCTTTACAGAGGAGCAAGCCGAGACCCTGGACAAGTTCTCCAATTCATCCTCGTCTGGCCAACCTCAGCCCGAAGCTGCCATCCCAGTGGAACCATCTTGAGTTACTGAGGTAGGGGCAGTGCCCCAAGTCGGGAGCCTGGGGGTCATGTGCTCTCTGTCCACCAGCTCTGTCCAGGTGAGAAAGTGCTCTGGGACCAGCCCCTCGTCTGGGGTCCAGGCTGATTCTCCAGGCCTTTTGAGACTTTTGATTTTCCAGGCTCTTTTGAGCCTGTGCATGACCTCATTTCTCACCCTGGGCATGGGGCCAGAAGCACAGCTCTGGAACAGGATGCCAGGGGTCCAAGGTGGCTTGTGTGCTGTTCTGACTTGCCTGGGCCTGATGCACATCTGCCACAAAGGCCTCTTCCCTGCCCGCCCTGCAGGCCCCAGACTTAGCTTCAGGTCCCCTGCTCAACCAGCTGCTGAGGCTGGGCTCATGGCAGGCATGGGAGTGTATACTGCAGGTGTCCCTTCATGCCCAGGTCTTTCATTTTCAGAATGAAAATGTCCAGTTTAACTATGCTTGGATGTTATGCTGGAAAATGCTGGTTTGCTTATCTGGTGGGTCTGGACTGGACTTGAGCTCTTCCTTTTTACCTGTTTTCTAGGGAAAAAAAAAACAACTGTACGCCCCTGCCTCCTCATCTGGGGGTTGGAGGACCAGGCCAGAAAAAGAGATTGCTGGGTCCTGGCTTCCTGCGCAGAGTATACAGTGACTTTTCTTTTTTTGGTGAGGAAGCTTGGCCCTGAGCTAACATCTGCCAATCCTCCTCTTTTTGCTGAGGAAGACTAGCCCTGGGCTAACACCCATGCTCACCTTCCTCCACTTTATAAGGGACGCCACCTCAGCATGGCTTACCAAGCAGTGCATCGGTGCGCGCCTGGGATACGAACCGGCGAACCCCGGGCCACCGCAGCGGAGCACGCACACTTAACCGCTTGCACCACCGGGCCGGCCCCTATAGTGACTTTTGACTGTGGCTCAGTGCAATTCTGCAGAGGAAGGAAAGGGTGGGGCCCATGGCCAAGAAGGCCATAGAGATTTGGCTGGTACTCTCTGTTTCAACTGCCTTCCCCAAGAGCTGACCAGCAAATGCCCATTCTTCTGTCTGTCAGGATGGACTGACTGGTGAAGAGTCAGATCCTGCTGGCTTTCCTAGTGTCTGGGGTAGCTCCTAGTCTCCCTTTGGTTTCACACTGCAGCCCGGCCAGCCTCTTGCCCTCCAGTCTACAAATGGGCTGGGCACTGCTTGACTTTGTGTACTTAAAAACAAGCCAGATAACTGGTTTTGTAGAATAGAAAGAAGTGCCCACAGGATCAAGCATTCTGGTTGGGAAGAAGTTAAAGAGGAAGGGGTAGAAATGTCACACAAAAGAGACACTTTTAGAAAAATTTGATTCTCAGCACATGTCATTACAGAAGGCAACCCAGGCCAGAAAGCCATCTCTGGCCAAACTTCATCATGATGTTTAGGATGACCAGCATGAAAATGACAATTTCTGAGAAGTCCCTACCTGGAGGGAGTCTTCCTTTAAATCTTAAATCTAGTCTTTCTCCTTTCACAGCTCCCTCGATGCTTCTGTAACCAGAATTGTGATGTGAGCTAGAGCAGTAAGGGACACTGCATGCTTGTGTGTCCAAACTATTTACTTTACAAAGAGGCAACAGTAGCCCAGACAGAGAGGAGCAGCATGACCAAGGGGAACAGGCATTGGGAACATGATAGTTCTTGAAATAGGAGACCAGGGCTGCTGTCTGTGTGAGTCCAGAAACATGGGAGGATAAGCTCCATCAGCACTGGAGGAAAGGTCCACGAATGCCCTGGTGGACCCCAGTATTGTTACTCTTGCTAATTCCTGGGGTTTAAACACAGTATTAGGAAAATCTACAGCAGGTCATTAAGATTTGTTCAATGAACAAATGAGCTGAGTCAGACCTACTTTCTGACATTCGGATTCAGAACTTGGATAATACCCATCTGAATTCAGAACTGATTATTCAGTATGTTCCTGGTTGACACTCTGCATTTTATCTGCATGACCTAAAACAATCAGGTAACAGTATGTATCACTGGCCATCTTCTGTGAGGGGACATTTGTCTGTAGAGAGGATGAGTAAAGGGAGCAAAATTTATACTTAACATGATGTTTTGTGAAACTCCCCCAATTTCCTGAACCACATTATAAGTAATACTGTTTTAATTCTGTTGTTATAAAATTGATGCACTAAGATTGCTGAGGATATATTCAGCTAACTTTGATGGGACAAATTTCTAGCTTCCTGTTAGAACATACACAGAAAGCAAAGTCCTCATGTGATGTTCACTCTTCAAGGCTGAGGCTGTGGACAATATGATCTTGATGTTGTACTGGCACTTCTTAACTGTTCATAACAATACCATCACCAAAACCACAAAGGCCAAATCATATTTAATTTTTAAAGCCTTGAAACAAGGCCAATTTGGTTTTGAGAGGGTTCAACTACCAGTTTCTTGGGCCCCACCTGGGTATTTTGTATGTTCACCTAGTACTTGGCCCTTTTGTACCGCCAGGTGAAGGCAAGATCAAACTGGAACATGATTTTATTGTAGAATAAGCTTCCTTTGGTCACCTGGAAAAGAAAGAAACTGTAGGCACAGTGGGTTATCACAGAGTCGTTGTTAGTTCTGGTTATAGCCATGTTACAGAGAAGGAAGTGATATAAGTAATACTGTCAGACAGGAGATGTTTTCTGCTGGACTTCATTGGTGAGCATATCTTCCCTGGCAAGGGATATATTGGATGCCCTTGCACACCATCCCCAACAATTCAAATACCATGCTGTGATGGTTAATTTCATGTATCACCTTGACTGGGCCATGGAGTGCCCAGATATTTGGTCAAACATTGTTCTGGGAGTATCTGTAAAGGTGTTTTTGGATGAAATTAACATTTAAATCAGTAGACTGAGTAAAGCAGATTGCCCTCCCTAAAGTGGGTGGGCCTCATCCAATTGGCTGAAGGCCCAAATAGAACAATAAGGCTGACTTTTCCCCAAGTAAGAGAGAATTTTCCCACCTGATTGCCTTAGAACTGGGACATCAGTTTCCCGGGTCTCGAGCCTGCCAGCCTTTGGATGGGAACTACACTATCACCTCTCCTGGTTCTCAGGCCTTCAGACTTGGACTGGAATGACACGTCAGCTATCCCAGGTGTACAGCTTGCCAGCTCATCCTGCAGATCTTGGGACTTGCCTACCTCCATAATCGTGTGAGCCAATTCTTTATAATAAATCTCTTTATAAACAAACACACACCCATACACACACACACTCTCTATTGGTTCTGTTTCTATGGAGAACCCTGACTAACACATATGCCCAGGCCTCCTCTCTAATTTTCAAGAGCTCACACCCCAATCCCAACAATGTATCAGCCAGATGAGTGCTATACTGGCCTGGAGCCCTGAAATGAGAGACAAACACACAACACAAGGCTGCACTGGAAAGTCAGACATGATTTGTCAGCCTTTATTAACCAAGAGCAAAGCCAAGCCCTAGAGTTTCCTTTTAAAAAAACTCAACCTTGTTTATGGCAAACAATGATTTAGTTATGTATTCAACACTACAGAGCAAGAATTGATCCCTTTCCAATCACTTATTCTGAGATTAAAATACAAGTGTAAAATGGGTTAAAATAAGATTCTCCCCAATGATTTAAAAATAATTTCAATTGAAAGACATTTCAAACACTACATGTAGAATTCAGGACCAAAAAAAGACCTTAAAACATTTTACCTTTGAGGTAGCACAATAATGCTGAACTAGATTTCTTTTATTACAATGAGCTTAAGAAAACAATGAGGAATCTACTTTTTGTTGAAGATGGGCTAAATGGTTTTCTGCAAATCACCCATGAGGCTAGTGACAATTTTCTTTTTTTTCTTTTTTCTTTTTTTTTTTAGGATACAGATAGCCCTGCAGTGTGTAAAAGGAAACCACGGGAAGGCTGCTTCCCATAAAATAGACATTAGAATCATCGAGGAACATCAGCAGTCAAGACAGGATGAACAAGAGGTAACTGGAGTGAAAAACCAAAACAACTCGTCTCTTGGCAAGATTGGTTTACAAGGGCATGTTGAGAAAAAAAATTCCAACATCAGCCAACTGAAGACAAAAGAAAAAAGATGACACTCATGGGTCTTTTTCCTTTTTCTCTGTGCAAAAATGCTCTTTCAATTTTTCTAAATGAGAGAGGATTGTTTGTACACTGTGACACGAGACATGGAAATGCTGCGTGCCCAGGGTGCTGCTGGGTGCCAGTGGCACTTCTCACTGACTTCTCTACCATTGTGAGCAGAGAATCTGGGCAAGAGGATGCACATGAGCTCCCCTGGCTCGAGAACCATTTCTTGCCACTTTGCTGCTGAATTCGCTCACTAAACTGCTCAAAGAAAAGCTCCACCCTGATTTCTGAGAATCTATAGCAATTATATATAAGAAGTGTCAACTAAGAGGACAAAGCAGAACCCTTCCTTCAGAGAATATAATCAAAAGAAGAGAGTGGGTGTGATAAACTGGGGGCAGAAGGAAGGATAATACTGCAGGTTGGACCTCAAGGCTCTCAGGAACATTCTCTGCCATGCAAAATCAATAGCAAAGCCAGAAAAGAGCATGTGAAGCTCTGATAGAAGAGAACAATATAAACAATTAACAAAGGGATCTCTTCCCAACACATACTCCTTCTCATGAGGCTCAACCATCAGTGCAGGGCTTGCCCAGCACAATGTAGAGACCACAGCCCTGAGTCAGACTTGGTCTGCCACCTTTGATTCCCTATGCTATAAAGAGAATTGAAACATTGTCAGACTCCTGGCACCTTGGTAATGGCTGTGTCCTATTTCCCTCACGCTCGTCCTTTTAAAGTCTCCCTTCCTCAAGCCAGACCCCCAAGGAACCCTGTATGTAGTGAGGGTCTGAAATGATGATAATCTGTAGTTAGAGTAGGAGGGCTTAAACCCGATGAATTCTAGTCTGTAAAACAGCAACCATCAGTGAGTCAGGGTGTCAGACAGGCCTCTGTGAAGGGGAAGACTGAACTGGGATATGCCACAGGGCAGGAGAAGAAGGCCCATCCCTAGTAGCCTGCAGGAGTGATTCTGGCATGGAGTTTACAGCCAGCCCTAACTAATGCTGGCTCGGGAGGTGTAAGGGGGGCATCCTTTCAGTGTTTAAACAGAGCCCTCACATAGTCTGGGGCTAGATCTCTGTGTCACTCCTGAAGCCCAATGTACCTCTTACCTCTGCAAGAAAAAGGTGTGGTTTTTGTCTGTTAAAGTGCTAGATCTGCTTTCTTAATTTATTTGATGATAAAGCAACACCATAAAAAGAACCTTGGAAAATCGTGGGAAAAACCACATGGGCTTTCCCAGTGCTAGCTGCCTGTTTTGGAGTATTAGTTACAACCTTTCACAATTCTGAGAGCTGCAAAGCAGACTACTTAGGGTAGTCTGAAAAGAATCCTTCTGCTTTCACTTCACAAAGCACAAGGAAAAGGGAGCACTGACCAAGGTTGTGGTGGGTCAACGCTCTGGAAATCTGTCGACCACACTACACATGGTAAAAGCACAGAGCCTGGCTTATGTGGACAATGCAAGGTGACCAGGTGGGCTCCATCATTATCCACAACAGGAATGACTTAAGCCCCAGCATATAATCTCTTAGGGATTTATTGAGTTATACAAATTAAAAAAAAAAATCATATTAGAAAGGGGCTCTTGACCTAATATAAACTTGGCTACGACATTCAAATTTATCTTTATGCAAATTTCACACTAACAGCGTGAAAATGTGAAAAAACAGTGTGAAAAAAAAGAATCTCTTGTAGCATCTGATTCTGTCATTCTGAAGAAAAAAAATTTCATTCTGAAATATATCTAGTTAATTAGGATAATTCATCAGAATTCTACCTGATATAATTAAAAGCTTAAAAAAGTTTTAAAATATAAGCTAAATTATTTTTCTCTGGGATTAACAACTGGAACCCCAAATATCCCAACATCTTAATTAGAAAGATCTTCACAGTAACTCTATGAAACTGCAAATTATGCCAATTTTTGAAAACTAACAAAAAGAGTTGATCTTTAGAATGAACGCCTGAGTCTGCTGACAAACTGACATATATGAATATGTCCAAAGGGAATTTCCTAAATAGAGAAATAATTTTAGGGCTGGCCCCGTGGCTTAGCGGTTAAGCATGCGTGCTCTGCTACTGGCGGCCCGGGGTTCGGATCCCAGGCGCGCACCAACGCACCGCTTCTCCGGCCATGCTGAGGCCACGTCCCACATACAGCAACTAGAAGGATGTGCAACTATGACATACAACTACCTACTGGGGCTTTGGGGAAAATAAAAGGAGGAGGATTGGCAATAGAGGTTAGCTCAGAGCCGGTCTTCCTCAGCAAAAAAAGAGGAGGATTAGCATGGATGTTAGCTCAGGGCTGACCTTCCTTACAAAAAAAAAAAAAAGAAATAATTTTTTTTTAATTTCAAAAAAATAGCTTCTTCTTCTTTAAAGAGTTTAAAAATTGATGGTTAAACAGCAAAGCTATGCAACAACTCTGGAGTAGAAGAAAAGGGCTCTCTTTGTAGTACAACCTCTTGCTCACACACTGCCATTAGCCAGTAGGGGCAACTGGAAACAAGAGATGGCAGGAGTTGCCTAGGAAAGTATTGGGTCAGATAAAGCAATGGCACCTCCAGACCCTGGCTCCTTATAATTGGACAGCAATTCATTCATACAAACTGTACAGAGATTAAACAAAACAAAACAGAATCTACTAAAACAAAACAAAACCCCCCCTACGCAGAAAACCTTGCCTGGTTCTCTGCTACCCGAAGAATGTGCCAAACCCAAATTTTCTGCTCTAACCAATGACCAATCAGTGTGCTTTGGGGTGCTGACCTGCTGAGCCCTGGGCAGGGCCTCTCCCTAAGCATCACTGTGAGTTTGAAGACAGCTGTAACGTGTGCAGCTGTCAGCAGACAGTACAACGCCACAAGACCACAGACCTTCATCACATCTGCCACTATTTTCCACTGTAAAACCAAAGTCTACAATTGTGAACAAATGTGGACTTTCTCAAAGGACAAATGAGGAGATCAAAGGCTACAACATTTCCTTTCTTGAGAAAGGTTGCGGGAGGGTGTCTACAGTTATACAACAGGTTTGTGCAGACCTGTAGTAACTTCCAAAAGCAAAGTAGCAGCAAGAGAGGGAAGGAAGATGTTTACACTTTGGACTTTGTATCAGGCACTTAAATTGTTGGAGAGACATGCCATTTTGAACCAAAGATGTGAAAATTGGGCTGGAGTAATCATTACAAGTGGTCTAATAATGGGCCTTCAGAAGCAAAGTGGAGGTGTAGGTTGAACCTCTACCCATCCTTTAGTGTTGACTTTCAAGTTTTCGAAATGCCCACGGCAGCAGTGGTGGCAACAGCAGGAACAGTTCTCTCGTGTCTGTTTTACTGTATGTGTTCTGTGGCTGACCGGATAGTTTTGGTGTCACACTGAGAAGGCTCTGGGGTGTGGCACACCTACTGCCCAGGATCGATCAGATCCATACTGGAGCCAAACATCTTCACCAGCTGTTCCTCATAGTGTGAGATGTTTCTCTTCATGATGTCCATGCAGGGTCCCAGAAGCCTCTCAAATGCTTGTACGTCCATAACTGCATTGTTAAAAAGAGGTGAGGGAGAGAATGAATTTTCTACATCAACAATTCAAAGTCATTTCCCTTGTGCAAACCTTGTCTTAAATATACCCATTCACATTATAGGAGATTGGATACTGGGTACTTGGAAAAAGGAGGGATGTTTCTACGTGAACACAGCAGGACTGTGTCCTCTAAGTTTTGAGACTTTGCAGAGTCCAGCAGCACCTGTACTCTCTGTCCCTACTCAGCCCTGGACACCTGCCTCCATTACTGCTCTTTTCACACAGCCAGGGGATCCAGATACTTGTCTTGCTCACAGTCTACTGTCTGTGCTCAGAAAGCTTTGCTAAGAGAATACATTAACCCATTTCTGGTTGATCACACAAACTGTCCAAGCCTAGATGTGAGTGAGAGCTGGTGGAATAAGTTAAGGCTTGCTGATGGGAACAACATACTGCACCTCAGAAAGCAAGTATCAATGCACAAAGAATTTTTCTTACCTAAGCATTTGACATCTCCCACTGCATAAGCTGAAGCAGCTCTGGGTTTGTTGGTGACCAGTGCAAGCTCTCCAAAGTACTGACCCTTATGGCAGCGGGCAATCTCGACCTCCTGGTTCCCACCATCCTTGTTTGCTTTAGTCTAGAGCAGGTAGAGAAGATGACCCAGGCTGATTCCAGAATCACAGCTTGGCATGTCCAGTCGCACACACTTGCATTCCCTTCTCAGTACTCTTAACACAATTAGTGAGAAATTAACTTTGCAGAGACTCTAAATGTACTACGTAAACTGTATGGGTTAATCTCAGTGGTCTGGTTTAATCAGAGGAGTTGGTTTTTACTTGGGGCTTCATCTGAGCCCTAACACCTTTCGGCTAATGGCTAAATATCAAGAGGTAAAGGTGCAGACCATTTTCTTTGGGAGATTTACATACATACATACATACATATATATATACAGTATAATATATGTTAATATGTGATATTAATATATAATATATTCTATATGGTAATACTTATTATATCACATATTAACCTATAATACATATATTATATATACTATGTGTTTGTATATTACAAATATATAGATGAACACTCTCCTTTTGGTAGACACTGACTTCTGAGGCACAGGGGGAAAAGACAAGGTCTTTTGCTAATTCTTTCTAAATAATGTCAACTCTTCTCTAAGGTAATGAGTCACAATCCTGGGCTACTTCTTTTTGATTTGAGACCATACCTTTCTCAGATAATACTGTACAGTGACAAATTTTCCTTTTAGGTACTGTCTGCATCTTAAGTTAGTAGTCCCCCCACACGCACATCTTTTTTTAGAAGAGTTAAGTAACTAAATATTCTTAAAATAATATCCAACCTTGAAATTTGGGAATATTAAGAAATCAAGCAGGTTGTAATTTGTGCTTATCAAATTACTGAAAATAATGTACTATATTGTATTTACTACCTAGAGTTTCCTATTTTTTTAAATGAATCCATCTGCTAAGCTAAGCAATAATTTAAGTAAAAAATTACTTAGAATTTATTAGTAAGAATTAATCTCTAAGCACCACTTTATGTTATGGGTAGATAGACAATTTTTTGAAGGTTAATTCAGAAAAATAAACAAAAGTGCCAGACTAGCTTACATGGTTTGACCTCTCCTCCTTCCACACTTCTGCCTTGACCTGTTTGCTGTGAAGTCTGTCAATTTGTCCACTCCAACTAATGCTCTCTTTCCAATTTCTGTAGCATTCTCTGGGACTGCAGACACGTTCATGCCCACCTAATCCCTTCTCTAGAGTAGCACTTACCATACTGCTCACAAGAACACCAGCCCCCTGGGGGTCTTGTTATAACCCAGATTCTGATTCAGTAGGTCTGGGGCAGAGCCCAAGACTCTGCATTTCTGACAAGCTCCCCCAAACCCCTGAGCCACAACGCTGCTGGTCCTACACACCCAACACTATGCTGTGATCAGTAGGTGTCAATGAATATTTGAGAACTGTACAAACATACATCAGTAGACCAAACACTATAAGTAAAAGAACATGGAAGTTTCAAATTATCATTTCATGTGAAAAAAAGATCTGTTTTTAATTAGGAATCAAGCCATCTTATAGGCAGTAATCATCATATTTTTCTTTCTTTCGCCATACCTTTACTAAAGATACTCCGTAAACGGTTTCATACTAGGTTGATTTAGCATTACATATAACTCGCTGTTTTATCACATTCTATATTCTTTTTTTTTTTTTATTTTTTTTATTTTATTTTTTCCCTCCAAAGCCCCAGTAGATAGTTGTATGTCATAGCTGCACATCCTTCTAGTTGCTGTATGTGGGACTCGGCCTCAGGATGGACGGAGAAGTGGTGCCTCGATGCGCACCCGGGATCCGAACCCGGGCCACCAGCATTGCAGCGTGCGCACTTAACCACCAAGCCACAGGGCCAGCCCACATTCTATATTCTTAAAAAAACTGCAACAGGGACATCTGGTGATGATGGATTTATGGTAAGAATCACTCCTCCCACTTATAGGTCATCAGTTTTCTAGGTGTCCCTATCCATCAAATGGCCATAATAATAATTGGCCTAGAGACCTCCCCTCCTAGTGCTCTAAAAAGGAAGCTATTTTTATATTCAACATCCACATGTATTTGTTTATTACATAATTCCTCCATTTTCTATTAGGCTATTTATCTTTTTCTTATTGATTTGTAGGCCAATATTTCTCATATCATTAATTACATGACAGAGGCAAAGGCAATAGGAACAAGAAGAAACATACTAAATTCTTATCAATGGATGGGCTTAAACATGGATCTTTGCCAGTCACATACCTAACATAACAATGATGATTTTGGTACACTAAACACACTTCACATTATTTAAAGCAAACAGTTACTTTCTGTGCATACACCTGGCATCTGGATCTTCCCTAGCATAACTTGCACCATCACACATAAACTCACCTTGCTTCTAATCAAGATGCTCACTTCGCCGGACTCTATAATGTAAAAGCTATCAGCCTTTTCACCCTGAAAAGGGAGACGAGGTCAGGTCAGAGCCATGCATATATATTGATAGAGGGACACAGATACAGGTCATTTTCTCATTGCCTGAACTCCGATTTTATATTTATTTTCCAACTCTACAAATCAATCAACAGCTAACAAATTCGGAACAAAACAAGAGGATCCTGATCACCAGCGATGTCGGTCCAACTATGACTGACACACATCTCTCACTTCCTAATGTGGAATACTCAGATTTCTCTCCATGAATGCCCAGGCTGCCAACTGAATAGAGCACTGCTATTCTTCCTGTTCATGTTGGTCTGCTATTGAAACCCATAGCAGGGGACCAGTAGCCAAGACTACTACAGACAGTTATCAAGGTGACTCCTGACTACCCTTGGGTCATGGGGCTCAGGGATAATCTTGACCCATAAAATGCAGCCCATCAGAGGAGAGCATAGATCTGGAGAAAGCCCTGCCTTGGAGAGGGAGGTGTTTTGATGTGGACTGATGTCATCCTTAGGAGCCTCAGGCTTTTCTTTTGTTTGTTTTGATTTTAAACCACCTGGCTGAACCAGTCATTCAAGTAATTCAACAAATAATTATTTACTACACGCCAGGCACTGTTCTAGGCATATAAGATATATCAGTGGACAAAACAAACACATTTTGGGGTGGCAAATGTTGTTCCCCTTCAGTACTCTCTATGATGTTTGCACAATGACGAAATTGCCTACCAACGCATTTCTCAGAACATATCCCCATTGCTAAGCAACACATACTGTAATTTATTTTTGCTGGAGAAATAACTGGTCAACAGTGAGATCTGGAGTGCTAGAGGAGGAGATGGCTACAGCATACAATGGACCTTCATTGAGAAGGTGAGATTTGAGCAAAGGCTGAAAAGAGCGCGAGTCAGGCAAGCAGAAATGGGAGAAGAAGCTTTCAGGCACACTTCAGCCTCTGACTTCTCACTCTTGACTTCTGGAGCAACGACCATCTACACTGAATAATTCAGTGCTAATCATGTGCTCTAATTCCATGTGGGTCTTATGTTTTCAGTGAGATCTATACTTCTTCTGAGTATTCCTAAGACTTCATGTCCTTTCACCACCCCAAAGAGCTATAAGTGGGCACCATACACAGCTGAGACTGATGTTCCTGAGTTAATCCAGTGCCAGGTCACCATATAATAATCACTTGCTCCATGTGAGTGAAAACCACAGCTTTATTAAAGGGATGTCTGTGGGTTTCTGTGCTGCCATGTTGGGTAGGTACCCTACATCCAGCAGAACCAAATCACCATGAAGTTTTAGCGTTACACAAACAGCTGCATGATAGGAATTGATGAAGGATGGGGAGCCATGAAGGAAACTAAGGTGGAGCCAGAAGCAAGGTCACGAAGAGGGAGAGTTGTTTTTAGGTCCAAGAAGGAAGTTTCATAAAGGAAGATGTGATCACCAGTGTTCAGTGTTGCTGGGAGGTCAAGAGTAATAAAAATTCAAATGTGTGGAAACATCCTGGTGACCAAGAAGAGGGTGGTGAGTCGTAAGGAAGAGCACAAAAGTGACAGGTGGTGAAGGATGGTGCCTCAGTCCTTTTTGTTTAGATAGGTGTAACAACCATAATTTAAAGTGCTCATATTTCAAGGCTACAGCTTGATGAATTGTTACATATGTATACATGTGTGTAACCACCTCCTAGATCAAAACAGAAAATACTTCCAGCTTTCAAAAGGGTCCCTCTTGGGCCGGCCCGGTGGCTTAGTGGTTGGGTGCGCGCGCTCCGCTACAGGCGGCCTCGGTTCAGATCCCGGGCGCACACTGACGCACCGCTTCTCCGGCCATGCTGAGGCTGCGTCCCACATAGAGCAAGTAGAAGGATGTGCAACTATGACATACAACTACCTACTGGGGCTTTGGGGGAAAAAAAAAAAACGAGGAGGATTGGCAATAGATGTTAGCTTAGAGCTGGTCTTCCTCAGCAAAAAGAGGAGGATTAGCACAGATGTTAGCTCAGGGCTGATCTCCCTCACAAAAAAAAAAAAAAAAAAAGGGGGGTCCCTCTGGAGTCTTTCTCAGTCAAAACCACCACTACCCCACCCATTTGGTAACTATATCTGACTTCTATAATAGTTTTCCTTAAGTTCTGTTAAGAAAAGTTAAGGCTATTCCTTAACTTCATATAAATGGAATCATATATTCTCTTTTGTGTCTGGCTTCCTCTAGTCCACATTGTTAGACCACACTTTGAAAATGCCTGGCTGTGAAAGGAATTAGAGAGGCTAGTAACTGGAGTAGAAACAAAGTCAAGGGAGGAATATGAGCATGTTGTGAGGACAAGAGAGACTCAAGCATGTCTACAGGATGAGAAGAATGAGTCTGATGAACAGGGAAGCTCAAATAGAATAGAATCTGCTAATATTGCTGTGTGCTCACTCCCAGTAGGCACTCTGGTGAGTACTGTATGTGCATCACTTCATTCAATTGCCAAAGAAGTCTAATGAAGTAGGTACTACTACTACCCCATTTTACAGATAAGTTTCCTCAGAAGCTCAGAAGATAAACAACTTTCCCTTAGGAGGTGGGGGGAATAGCTGGTGCATTCAAGGTTGAGAAGAGATGGGAAGTAACGTTATCTAGACCACATGGAACAATAAGGCTTGCCTGGTAAAAGTTCTTCTCTTCCTCTGGATCAGAGGGAGGACTGTCTTTAATCCTTTTAATTTTAATGATTTGCTAATACCTCACCAGAAAGGATTAGGATAGTCCACAAATAATGCAAGAAGATAAAATTTAATATAAAACCATGAATGACGATACCATCCGTTGAAAACAGTCTATTTTTGTGGCATCTGAGGGGATGCATTCTGTTGCATTTCCAGCCTCATGAAACAGCTGGTTAGGCTGGGACAGAGATGGGACAGGAAACATTTCCTGTTTCCCTCGGGGTCCAGTGATGGATATTGCACGTAAGCTGGCTGTTTAGGCTTTGTAGGATGCCTGTCAGTTTGCAGGGTAGATAGAGCAGAATGAGATGATTACTTAGTAGGAAAAAACAGGAGCTTACTAGAAGAGTGTCCTGCTTTCCAAGTTTTTAAGTCCACTCATAGGGTCTAAGCACACATCTCACAGAAAGAACATTCCATTCTACAATGAGAAGTAAAGAAATCAGACTATACTGCATTTTACATTTTTGTGAAGCTACTGCCAAGTGTTTCAATAAATAGTTTCTGAATGTCTACTATGTGGCAGGCAATGACTAGGTTATCATCCATATGCTGACATTTACTGGGCTTTATTAAATAAATGTCCCTTTTTCACAAATGATGATATAAGACCCACATTCCACTATAAGAATGACTGAAACCCTAATTCAGAACATGGTACCTTTTTGATTTAATGAAATGGTACTTGAATACTACATCCAGGAAAACATACTTTTTATAAAGTAGAAACCAACTTCTGTCCACATCATTCCAAGAATAAGCGAAATATTCTATCAATAAGGATAATTGTGCAAAGTACACAAATAAAACCATTACAAAGTACACAAATAAAAACAGAAAAAAATCAACACAAACATAAAAATTTGTGTTGATAAACTTGAAAGGATGTAATAAAAGAAACTGTGAAGGGACAGCTGGCCAGAGGCTCCCCTGACAGTGTAAGTGTGGTCTGGAGAACATTCAGAGACTGGTTGAGATGCACTCTAGGATCCCACCATTCCCTGCAATAGGCAGTGTCTTCTGTTCTTTCTGCTGTATCCGGGCCCCAGGTGGACATCTGTGTTAAGCAAGGCATCCACCCTTGGGCACAACCCACATGTAAAGAGCAGCCAGGCTGCAGGAAGAAGCTAGTGGCATGTTGGTGCTAAAGAGTCACAGCAGCCAGAGCACAAATGTTCAAGGGGACTTAAGGTAGAAATCTCTAAATGCTGAAGATCATCACTGATCTTCAAGAACGTAGAAAATTTTCTAGTTTTAAAATGTCCATATTAGAAAAGAAGAAAGGCTAAAAAGTGAAGAGCTAAGCATTCAACTCAAAAGAATAGGAAAAAAAATAATAAAAAGAAAGTAGAAGGAAGGAAATAAGATAAAGATAGAAAGTAATGAAAAAGAAAAACATTCAACAGGATTAATAAAAGGCAAAAGTTGGTTATTCAAAAAGACTGAAAGAATTGACAAGCCCCTGGCAAGATTGAGCAAGAAAAAAAAGAGAAGGCACAAAACAACAACATCAGGAATGAAAAAGGGAACATCATTCTAGATGCTGTAGATATTTAAAAGATATTAATAGGAACATTATGACCAACTTTATGCCAATAACACTGAATTTTAGATGAAATGAATAAGTCTCTAGAAAAATTGATCTTACCAAAACACACCAAAGATGAAACAGAAAATCTAAATAGCTTAACAATTAAAAAAAATTTAATCTGTAGTCAAAAATCTTCCCACAAAGAAAACACTGGTAAGTTTCATAAAGTATCCAAGGAATTTTAGTCTTACACAAACTCTTCAGATAATAGAAAGAGAACAGAATACCAACTGACATTATGAGTCTAACATTATCTTGATATCAAAATCTGTAGAAACTACTATAAGATTTAAGTCATCTGTAAAAAATCTGTACAAAGCTACTATAAGAAAGGAAAATTTGAGACCAGCCTCACTTGGGAACACAGCCATAAAATCTTAAACAAAATATTCGCAAATTGAGTTTATCAATACATAAAAAGCATACTACACAATGGCCAGGTTGGTTTATCTTATCTCAGCAACACAAGGTTGCTTTAACATTTGAAAATCAAATCAATGTAATCACTGAAGTCTTGTTTGTAATAGCTAAAAACCAGATAAACACCCCAACTGTCCATGAGCAGTGGAAAGGTAAATCATTTATATTTATATATACTGGAATACTACATCACAATGAAAACCAACAAACTACACAACAATGTGGTTGAATGTTAAGCAAAAGAAACAAGATGCAGGGGCCAGCCCGATGGTGTAGCGGTTA